CGCCTCACCTGGTGCCCGCGCTGGGCGCAGGTCCCGGGACTGCCATGGCCCGAGGCGCGCGCGAGCGGCGGAGCGCGGACGCGGGGATCAGAGCCCGCAGCGCCCGCGGACTCGGACCGCCCCGGGAGGGCGGGGCCCCGAGACCACAGAGAGGGTGGCGGCTAGAGGCGACCGACGGCTCCCGGAAGCGACGGCCTTCTCTAAGGGTACAAACGAGCGCCGAGCATTCGTCCTACGGACGCGCGGCTAGAGCGTCCCTAGGAGGTGGTCTCTTTGATAAGAGGTAGTGGGGGATGTAATTTATGGTAGTTGACAAGGATTTTCTTTTGCTTTTGCTTTTTTTTTTTTTGAGACAGGGTCTCACTGTGGATGAAAAGTATTATATTGTACTGTATTGTATTCTGAGCTTCTTGCTGTGTAGATCAGGCTGGCGTTCAGTTCACTGTGTAGCCCAGGCTGGCCTCAAATTCACAGCGATCCTCCTGCTTCAGCCTCCTGAGTATGGGATTACAGGGTGTGTTCCAGGAGCCCGGCGATTTTTTTTTTTTCTGTACCGAGGATTGAACTCAGGACCCAGTGTTTGCCAGGCATCCTATTCTACTGAGCCATCTCCCCGGCCCCTGACAGATATTTTAGATTCTGAATATATAGCAAGTTTAATCTTCTCTCAGAGAAGCCATCTCAGGCCTTTATTACTTATTTAGTCTTTTTGAAACAGGGTCTCGCTATACAGTTCAGGATGGCCTTGAGCTCATTTTGTTTTTGTTTGTTTTGTTTTCTAATGTATTTAGTGCAGAGTCTACAGCGTCTCACTACACAGATCACACTTGTAGTAATCGTGTTTTCCAGCCTCCCAAACGCTGGGATTACAGGCGCGCGCCAACTCACCCGTTCCCATCTGCCCCTCAGCGCGCCCGGGAGGCGGGCCGGTCCGGCATTCCCCCCACCCCCACCCGCCCCTGCGTCGGCCTAAAGGGGCTCTTTAATCCACTGGACTATCTGGCCGGTCCTGTCACGAGTAGCTCAGGCTGGTCTCCAGCTCGCAGTGATCCTCCTGCCTCAATTTCCCAAGCGCTGGGATTACAGGCATGTGTCTCCACGCCCTGCTCCTAACATCCTAAATCTTGGGGCTGGGGAAGACGGCTCAGTAGAATAAGCACTTCCCTGGCAAGCTCAAGGGCCTGAGTTCAATCCCCGATTCCTCCAAAAAAGATAAATAAATAAAAATAAAACAAAATCTGGACTGGTGAGATGGCTCAGTGGTCTAAAGCGCCTACTTGGAACAAGCTTAGCAAAGCACAGGGACCGCGGTTCAATCCCCCAGCACCACATGCCAGCCAGCCCCGCCCCCTGGTGGGCTGAGCTGGCCACACACACACATACATAAATAAAAATTAAAAAAAAAATAAAAGCTTATGCAAAATCAAAAAAGATTACATTCTCTTAATGAATAGAGGGATTTGTTCTAATAGTGTTTGTAAATAGGAAATCATGTCTGCATCTTGTACAGCAAATAACCAGTAGGAAGAGAGTATGCAATGTGTTAATTATTGAAACTGTCCTAGCGATTTGATTTGAAGCTGTCTCATTGCTATTTGTTTCTCAATAAAATTATGAAAAACAAACAAACAAACCAACCGACTGTTCTGTTCGGATGTGTCAGGGCCCAGGATATGATAACCTGGATTATGGTGCTGTGGCATGTGAGTACTTTGAACTTTGAGAGATTAGAAGACCTCAGAAGTAACCTCAGAGGCGAGTTCTGCTGACCCCTTCCGACCTCCTGTTTTCTCATTTGTCATTCTCCCTCGAAGCAAGGTGTAGACACCCACATCCTTGTGCCCAAGGTGAGTCACAGAAGAGGAAGGCTCGTCCCCAGAGCTGGCCCTGGAACCTGCAGGTTACCCCTCCCTTTCCCGCCTTGCCCCGTAGGAGGCAGTTGCAGGACTGTCGAGGACTTGATCGGGCAGTAATCGGGACGTTCTCTTCGCAGTGGGCTCTTCCTGTGAGTCCAGCCTTCCCGTCTCCAGACGGAAGCAGGCCGAGCAGGCGGGGTAGTGGCAGCTGAGCAGAGCCTTCTAGAATGGAATCCACCTGGGACTGTTTTATGACAGTAAATGACTTGCGGAAGACTGTGGCCCGTGAGCTGGTAGCTCTGCTAAGAAGCTGGCCCCGCTCCAGGGCTGCTTTTGTTGTCTTCCACCGACGTGACCGGCTGCCCTCTGCCACGTGCCACCTGCCCTGGAGCCAGCGGACTGTGGACTGGAACCTCCACAGACTGTCCTCGAGGTGAAAATAAAACTGGAATCCACGATAGGCAGCAGCTCTGTGGTGACCTGGCACTCATGCCGGCCAGCATTAGCATTTTGGCCATTGTAGGAAATTCAGAGCGGGAGCACAGCGGGAGTTCTCCAAGAGGAGATGGCATGAGAGAAGTGGGGGCAGCACAGAAAGGACCCAAGATGGGGCAAGCGTGAGAAGAACCAGGATGACGCAGAGTCTTTCCCAGCTGACTTTCACATTTGCAAAGAATCCAAGACAAAGGATCAGATGTAGACATGGCCCCTGCCTGCTGGGACTTACTGCTTCAGATTGAAACTCCCAGTCTTAGGAGAACTTTCTGTTGGGACCCCATAAGCAATCAGGGGGGGCCTGGCCCTAGCTCAGGCCTTTAAGTGGCTGCTTCCTCAAAGCTGTCAGCCTCAGGTTGCTGGAGTTCGAA